AGACGATCTATCGACTGCTATTTGAATTTTACAAAAATCAAAAATGTTATACATTAAGTTTTCTAGAAAAATTTGGCATTGTTCGTATTTTCTCTATTATTTTCACTAAATACAAACCAATACTTGAAAAACAATGCAATATAATTAAAAGTAAAAAATTAGCCAATTAGATAAGATTACTTTCATTTTCCAGTTTGGCCACATTGAATGCTTTGATAGTTTTTTTCTTCAGCTCAATACTTGAACCTTTTTTTCCCTTCCTTGTAAGGTCTTCAATACCTGGTAACGTGGATTTACTACACTTTGGCTTAGATCTGAAATTTCGATAATTTTTTATATTTTACATATTTTATAGAAATTATCAAATTTTCAGATCTAAGCAATTTCATATTAAATATTATGCTTGCATATTTTAGATATAATAATAATTGTATTTTTTTTAAACAAATTTTTATAATGTTTGTATATCAGATATATACACATTGCAAACAAAAATAAAATTTAAAAAGAGATAATTACTTATTATTCTTATTATCAGTTGATTGCATGATTTATATGGCAAAAAGTATGTGCTAGAAAAAATGCATAACAATTGACATATGCAAATTTTTGGTGAATTTACGGATATTTAAAGAAAAAACAAATAATAATAATTGCTTATTTTAATGGCATAGTTAATTTAGCTTAAGCTATTTTCTGGCTTACGGATGAAAAGTTAAAGTATATATCGGTCATACTGACATAAACAGCAATTACTGTATTCGAAAATATTTACAATTTTACAAAATATAATTAATACTATTGTAGTGGTCAATGAAAGAAATAATTTTTAACAAACTGTGCCAAAATGCAACGTCAATTTGTATACTAATTTAATGCCAAATTTATTAAGTTATTATTATGTATTTATATCTAAAATAAATATAACTTGCTTTTATTTTTAATTTAAGAATAATAAAGCTTGCAAGAAAAATTAGAAAGAAATAGGAATAAAACTTACACAGGAAATACTGTTGAAAATGACTTAGTCTTTTTGAAGATTAAGTAGACAGCAAGAAGTGCGATTAAGAGCAGCAAAAAGGCACCAGCGATAATTAAATACAAATTCAGATCTTCATATTCCATTAATGATTTCTTGCTGTGAAGTAATCAAATGAAAAAAGTTTCGAATAAAATAACGAATTCTTAACTCTATAAATTTTTACTTCTTTTGGTAGTATTGTAATGATCAATTTCATATTTCTATTGCTAATTGTATTACTCAATCAAGTACTAAAAATATTTAGTAACTTAAAGTAATCGCATCCAGTAATTAAATTAATTACTGAATCTATTTCT